TTCTTCTTTATAAGGCTTCGTTGGTAGAGTTACAAGTACAACATTATATGAAAATAGTTAAAAGTGGTTTTTTCCCCTCAATTTTAGATGAAAACACCCACTTTCACTATTAATAAACATTGCATTTGTTGGGAGGTTTCTATAGCTTAGCAATATAAGCATATTAGTTTATATTATAAAGTTATTGAGACTTTCACATTGAATGAGTGTTGAATTTTGTCATATTTGTCCAATGTGTAATTATCTATTCATTTTCTTGTTGATCTTTTAATATGGCAAATTGTATTTGAATTTACATAAAATCAAATTTTGATAAATATTTTTATATGCTTTATAAATTGTTGACATTGATCTGTTGATATTTATTTTGACCGTCATGTCCATGTTCATGGGGGATGTTGCTCTGTGGATTTTGTTGTCTTACAATGTGGGCTCTGGGGCCTGGAGAGGGGACCCGTTTGGTAAAGTGCCTTCCTCAAAAGCACAAGGATGTTAGCTCGAACCCCTCAGAACCCACGTGGAAGCTGAGAGTGGTAGCACATTCCTAAAGCCCACACCGGATGAGAAGATGAAGAAAGTTGAATCTGTGGTGCTCACTGACCAGAGAGCCTAGCTGAACTGACGAACTTCAGGTCTGATGGGAGACCTTGTTTCTAAAAGTAAAGGTAGAACACAGGCAAGAACAGACACCAGCAGTGACCTCGGACCCTTACGGAAAAGCACATCACATTCCTATGTACATACCCCACTGACAAGGTCGTATACCACTCACACATACACGCACATGTGTGCGTGTGCATGCACGCACATGTATACACACATACACTCACACACACACATACACACACACACACACACACACACACACACACACACACACACACACACACACACGCTCATGCACACACTGGGTATTTTGGGCCTGATTTTTTTTCTATATGTCTGAGTGTTGTCCCTGACAACATCCTGTCCTTCTATGTTGCTTTGACAATCTGGAACCTTGTGTTCACAGTTTTTGTCAAGAATGGAGGGGCATGAACTCAAGCTACTCAGATTCAGCAGAGACTTGTATGCTTTAACTATATGAAATAGAGACTAAATCTAATCTTTCTTTTTCTTTTTCTCTCTCTTTTCTTCTTATCTTCCTCCTCTGCTCTCTCTCTCTCTCTCTCTCTCTCTCTCTCTCTCTCTCTCTCTCTCTCAAGTAGTTAGTCCAAGATATTCTGTCACAGGGCAAAACTCTGATCCATAAAATCTGCTTACCTGGTTACCTAGCCACATGGACAATGCCAACGAAAAGAAGAGGCAGAATTTGGGAAGGAACTAACCATACTGTCTTGAATATAATTTTCTAGCTGTGTTACTGGGATTGCCTCCCAGCTGTGATAGCTTGATGAATTGTTCTTTGCATTCCTGGGAGATGGGAGAACTGGAGAGTGATGACCAAGAATCCAGACACCCTGCCAAGTAGACAGTAGGAGATGGGTTGCCCAATTTTTCATCTGCTTCCTTCACATTATCAAAGATCCTGCTGGTGATCCCTTGCTTTGGATTTGTCACCGAGGAATCAGTGGCCTCATTTTCAAAATGGCTGTAGGCCATGTTATAGTTTCCCTGATTTCAAATCGTCTTGCATCAATTATATATTAGCCTTGTAACATGCATGCCAGGGGTCGTTAATTTCACCTGGAGAGGCTGAACAGGGGCAGAGAAACCCCTGATAGCAATTGCTAACGGGAGCTTTGGAGAGCAGAAGCATTTGGAGTTAGTTATTCTCCTAGCAATGAGGGCGGGAGGTGGAGGAGCAGATATTCAGTCAGTGAGTAATTGCAGAACCTCTTACTGGGGACTCTGTGTCTACTCCTGCTTTCCTGTGGTGGCTGCACCTCAGCTGAGGGACCTTGTGAAACCAGTCACGATTTGTCATTCTCGGTGGTCCATGTGTAGTTTGGAGTAAACTGTGGTTGCTTGTGGTGGACACAGGCTGCCATGAGCTGATCCGAATACCCAAGCCCCTTGCTGGGAGTTCCCACCACTGAGCCCCTATTTTACTCTTTAAACTCCAGCCAGCTCGGAGGGTGCCCTTTCTGCATTTGCTTCAGGTCCTTCTCTTCAGTGTTCACATGACAGTTTCCTTCATTGTCCTTTAGGTCATCATTGCTCCAATTGTAATCTCTGAAGTTTTCTTCCCAAATCAGCATATTTTTTCATGTCACTAATCTAATCATTCTCCCCTGTAGGCGGGACAAGGAGGAGAATAGAGCTGGGAAGTGGAAGGCTGAGTCGGAGAGACACTGCCAGCCGCCATGATGACAAGCCGCATGTGTAGATGCCGGTAAGCCACGAGCCATGTGGCAAGGTATAGATTAATGGAAATGGATTAATTTAAGCTGTAAGAACAGTTAGCAAGAAGCCTGCCACGGCCATACAGTTTGTAACCAATATAAGTCTCTGTGTTTACTTGATCGGGTTTGAGCGGCTTGGGACTGGAGGGTGAGAGAGATTTGTCCTGACTGTGGGCCAGGCAGGAAAACTCTAGCAACACTCCCCCCCCCCCATTTTAATGTGTTAATTAAGAACAAATATATAAGCTTTCTGGATGCCAAAGTTTTAACATTTTTGTTTAGGATCCTATCCAGTCAAATACTTAAAGGCTCACCAATGATAGTAAACTGAGTAAAATGACTAGAAATCTGGGGTCAATCTGCCTATGACGTGTGGATTTGAGGTCGGGCATCTCAGATGCATTAATAGTGTTTTACTTCAGTTTTAGTAAAAATATTGTTGAATTAAAATATAACTTATTGCATTTTTATAGATTTCCACTTCTAGAAAAAGGCATAGTCTTTACTCTTTTACATTTTCAAAATATCACGGTAAATAATGTCATTAGCATTTCTCAGTTTTGACCCTATTTTCATTTTGGGTCAACTAATTTGTGTGTGTGTGTGTGTGTGTGTGTGTGTGTGTGTGTGTGTGTGTTGTTCATATGTTAACACATGCTTATGTGTGTGTAAACCCACACATACGCCAGTATGCATGCCTATGTGTGTGTATGCTTGTGGAGGCTTCACTCAACTCCCCATTTTATTTACTAAGACAGGGTGTCTTGCTGAACCCAGAGCTTACTGATTTGGCTAGTCTAGCTAATCACTTTGTTCCAAGAATCCCCTGTTTCTGCTTCCCAAGTGCTGGGATTATAGGCTACAAATGGGCCACCGACTTTTATGTGGGCACTAGGGATTCAAACTCCAGACCTGTATTTGCACAGAGAGCACTCTTTTCACTAGGCCATGGAGACAGGCCCGTAGGATGTTTAAGTAGCATTCCTGACCTCTACTCAGTAGAGGACAGATGGAATATGTCATATCTTCCCCCAAGTTGTGATAACTGAAAATGTCTCCAGACATCACCAAGTGTCTCCTAGAGGATAAAATTGCTCCGGTTTGAGAACCACAGATGTAACTAATTTTCTCATGGACCTCTCTAATACAAGGTTATATTTTGAAGTGGTAAATGAAATAGAGTTGACATCATGGGAATCTCATGGTTGCTTGACCAACGCCATCAACAAGCACTGTAATTAATCCAGCATGGTCCACTGAACAGACAGCAGCATATGCTAAATATAAAAATAAAATTGAGAGGCAATAAGGAGAGGGTCTATCTTTCCGGAATATTCTTAGAACTCCATCACTCTAGAACAGCAGGAAGTGTTGAGGTGTTTCTTACGGTAAAGGGGCTGGCAAGAACAAACCTTATGAGTAGTTCGTGATAGATACAGGTGAAGCCCGGTGAAAGCAGATTGACTGCTCCATGGTGAAAAGGAAGGTTAGAAAAGGAAACTGAGTCACCTGGAGTTTGACTTGAGGGAGACGTGGGTAGTTTGCAAAGGTAGTTGGAGAATAGTCTGCTAGGGAGATAGGCTTAGGTGTGCAAATGAACTTCTGTTGCTTCCTCCTCTGAAAAAAAACCAAGGTCCATGCACTAAAAGCTTTGCTCCTGCAGGGTCACCTCTTCTGTCCCCAGGTGACTCTCGGGCATTGAGACAGTGACAGTCAACAGAAGAGCCCCAGTCCTTAAAACAACTTGCCATAAACGAATGGCTCTAATTTTAGGACAGGAGTGGTCCTAAGACATGAGGGTTCAAAGGTCATGGGAATCCATAAGACTTACTAATTGAGTTGGGTTGAAGAGGTGTGACGTCAGAATGGTGAGGAAAGAGTCCGTTTTACAATTTGAACATGTTTGGGTACATTAGAGTTCTACTCCTTCATCGTTTTACATTAAGCTTCTATATGAGACTCAACACTGGTCTGTTGCTTTATCCTCTTCTTGGTTAAAGGAGACAGAGATCTCAGAAAGCTGGGATGCCTACCCTCAGAGTATTACAACCCCAGAGTCTGAGCCACACTGGTTATTCCCCCCATGTTCTTGCCAAAAGCGTGTCACAGAATAGGTCTCTAGAGGCACCAAAGAAGCCAAAAAAGGAAAAATCTCCTAAAGGAAAATGACATTTAATTGGGAATTTTCAGAGATCTGTCACTCCCAGTGACAACCCAGTAAAAGTGCTTTGCAGGTTTGTGACTGCAGGTGGGCTGCCACCAGCATCTGAAGTTAGCTGGACTCCCTGCAGGAAAGGCCTCTGGGGATGGAGAGCAAGGGGCAGCTGCATTTGCACACAGCTCCCCCTACCCTCCGAATATCACATTAAAAAGGGAAAAAAAAAAAAAAGCGTCGGCCCCAAACTGTAGTCTAAAATGCCATCAGTTTTCCAATGAAGATATCCGACTTGATAAGCCGAGGTATGGACTCATGCGAGGAAAAAATGATGGTGCTTGGGAGTTTGTGAAAGAAATACTGTGCTGGGTGGATGCTAAGAACAAACAGTTTTATATCCCCTCGTCTTTCCGTGCAAATCCGTTTGGGGAAAGACTGCCCCCAGAGTAGCCTGCTTTTCATAAGCTTCCCAATCAGATTTCGGGGGCAAAGCACTCCCCCTCCCTCGCACAGCCTGCTTCTTCTCCCTGCCTGCTCCTCTCAACCCTCCCATTCTCCATTTCCCTCCCTGGCAGGGTGTAATTGAGATCAGGTTCCCCGCCTTCCCGTCCAAAAATCCCGCCAAGGAAGCCCCAGAGCATAAGAAAATCCAAAGTAGAGAGAGGGGAAGAAAGAAAGCACCGAGTCATCCATCCAGAAGGGGGGAGAGCGCAGCCGCCCAGGCAGAAGCAGCATCCAGCAGTACCTGGAGTCCGCTGCAGAAACCTCGCCCGCACGGTGCAACAAAGGCAGCCTGCTACTCAGCGAGGACCTCTGCAAGCCAAAGTAAGTGCAAAGCACCCCGTGGACTTCTCCAAAGGGTCTCTGGTGAAGTGTGCCTACCCCTAGGCCACTTTCCTGGCAGTCCGCAGTCTATGGGGGTTGGAGCAGGAGAGAAGCTGCCTGGAGTCGGCTAGTAGGGCTGATTTTCAAAACGGACTTGCTCCCAAAGGCAAACCAACCCAGGGAAAATTGGGGGGACGAGTTCGGATCAGTTAGGGTGTGCTCGGATGAGAAGAAGGGAGGCAGCTTTTGTTTTGTGGAGAGTGCATGGGGACGGCATTCCTGCTACCTGCTGGAGCATGCAAAGCGCGGGAGAGGACACATTTGTGCTCTTTGTAAAACCTGGAGCTCTGGTGGGTGTGTCTGGCCCAGCAGGCAAGAGAGAGACAGAAAGAGAGAGAGAGAGAGAGAGAGAGAGAGAGAGAGAGAGAGAGAGAGAGAGAGAGAGAGAGAGAGAGAGAGAGAGAGAGAGAGAGAGAGAGAGAGAGAGAGAGAGAGAGAGAGAGATGAGAGAGAGAGAGAGACTGCAGCAGCAGCAGTCAGGTCTCATTTTCCTACCTCCACTTCTCAGGTGGCCCCAGAGCTTGCCAACTGCCCGCTGCTACAGCTCTAGGTGTGGTACATGCTACATGGTAGCGGCCTGCCCCTCCTGCCTGCCTGTAGAAAAGCTTCTTTCCAGGATATACTCCCTATCCTGCCTGCCAGCTCAGGAATGGTTCTAGGCACAGTTCCTGCCAAAGTTTCAAAGACATGCTTTGAATTTTACCTTTTCTTGGGGAGCCAACTATTCTAACGGACTGGCACATAAGCACTTACATTTTCAATTTCATCCAAATAAACCAGGGATATGGTAAAGACTAGTTTGGCAAATACCCAGAATTTCTGAGGTGATATTTCAATTAAGTTATCATAATATGCTTTGAGAAGAATGTATTCACTTCCTTTGTGCACAAAACACGGCCTTTCCTCTCCTCTTACACACGCGTGTGCGCGCACACACTTCTATGGACTATGATGTGGCACGTAAATTTAAGGGCACACTTTTGGTTTACATAGAGAGCTAACTCATTCCTGTCTCCCCTTTTACAGGGACTTTAGAGGTGTCTGGGCAGAGTGAGGCCATGGAAACAGAGTGGGTGGTTCCTGAAAGCAGGCGATGCACACTTTGGGGGAGAAGGAAGTAAGAAAGTTCTCGCTTTGTTCAGCATCTTTTCTCCTGAGACTGCCAGAAGTTTTTTTTCTCCAGTAGTTTAAGAAAGTGTGTGTGTGTGTGTGTGTGTGTGTGTGTGTGTGTGTGTGTGTGTGTGTACAAGCACGCACACGCGTTGGAGGAAAGGGCCTGGGAGGCACTTCAGGAACTACCAAAGAAAAGCTTTTGAACTAACAACATAATGGAGCAATTTCATGATCCCAGGCAAATGTGGAACTGATGAAACAGCGGAGCCTGCTTTAGCCCTTTCATCGTCTGGGAATGAATTGTTTTGTGGGAATATTAAAAGGTAATGAGAATGAAACAGAAGAGAAGTCGGCCAACACAGAACAGAAGGCTGGTGCTTTCCGGATTCATTACGTCCCCTTTAAAGTAAATTATGTGCCTTCCAGGCCAAGTCATTAGAAACACTTACAGTCCAGTTAAACTCGAGGGAAGTTAGGGTGAGTATTGTCCCTTGCTCCTCTTTGAGACCTGAGTTATTTCAGACTGGCAACAGTGGTTGTTTGCCATGGAAATTAAAGGATGAGATTTTCAAATTGTTTTATTTTAAAACCACAACACCATTCTTTTGAACTATAAGAAACTTTAAAATTTAAATTTTCTGACTAGAATTGAAGTCTTTAGAAGAAGACAATCTTTCTCCAGCTGCTCACACACCCAGGTCAAGACAGCTTTCTCAGTTGGTGAACTGCCTGTATACACACACACATACACACACACACACACACACACACACACACACACCACACACACACACACACACACGCCTTTCTTGCCCCTACCCCTCCCGTATACAAACTGTAGCCCCTCTAGGTTCTGGATTCTAGCTGTTTGTGGCTCAAACACTTTATGCCCTCAAAGGCAGAGTTGTGAGAGAGACAGACCTACTGTTTACATGATGTTTTAGCCCTCTGACTCCTAGGTGATATCCCATAGGGATGAGAATAGAATATATTTGACTGCATATTATATTGTGTTGTGTATACTATATAATATAAAACTGTCTGTCTTCCTGGACCACTTTCTGTAACACCGGGAACCAAAAAACAAACTCATTTAGTGAAAGTTTTCATTTTCATGTTTCTCTTTTTCTCCTTCTCCTCTTTCTTTTTTTTTTTGAGACAAGGTTTCTCTGTATAGCCTTCACTATCCTGGAACTTGCTCTGTAGACCAGGCTGGCCTCAAACTTACAGAGATTTATCTGCCTGCCTCTGCCTCAGAGGGCTAGGATTAATGGCATGCACTACCACTGCCTGCCAGTTTTCATGTTTCTTGTTTGGTCTTTACAAACAGCAATATGTAACAATATCTGATTTTTTTTTCCTTAAAAGTTTTTTTTTTTTCAATGCAATGATCTGGTTTGCATTTTCACAAAACCTGGTCACTGAAAATAACACAAGACCCCTGAATAATTTGCAAAGTTAATCTCTTAGAGATGAAATATTTTAGGTTTAAAGTTTCTATTTTTTTTCTTGGAAATGCTCTTGATTCCTCATTTTAGTGGCATTCCCCGCTCAGCATTTGTGGTGTGGGGGACTTTATAATTCCTCAGTGTGTTCCCTGGAACACACTGATTTTTTTTGCCTGATTTGTATGAAATGGTGGTGATGTTAATAGTCATTGAAGCCAGAATTATGGTTATAAATGGCAGTTTACAAACGCTTATGTTCTTAATACGGCAGCGTGGTAACAAGGGACTTATCCTTGACCCTTATACTGATGATAAGGCCCAGTTGAGACTACTCAGAACAGTGGGCCCACGAGTGTGCTCCACGCCCGAGTTCCCCTGACTTACCTTGAAGCCTGGTTTACACTGGATCATCCAACATGGCAGAGCCCTGTGCTGCTTCTGACCCAGGCCTTGTAGGTAAAGCTGAGCTGGATGAGGAATGTTTTCTCCTCTGAGGTCTGTCTAAGGAACAAATGGAAGAGCTTTTGTGTCCTCTGGCACAGGCCACACTTTCTTCCTGGGAGTGAGGGTGAAGGAACACGTCGATATGGGCCTTTTCTTTGGGAGCTGCGCCTGCTTTTTCCATCCAGGGAAAATAAAGGAGAATTTGGGCCTTGGCTTTTCATTGGCAAGTCTTTCCATTCTTGGTGTTTATGGCCTGTCCAAGTTACCATTTACTGGGCCTTTTTTTTTTTCTAGGTGCTACAAGCCAGACTTATAGATAGTAGTCTGCATGCTGTTGTTACGATCTTTCTAGACCAATAACTATAACACGCCTTTTATGACAATGTAAGTACTTTTGGTTAAAAGGGTAGCTGTGAACAAACACTATTCGAGGAGACTGAGACAATGGTAGTACTTGTGGATTTGATCATGGGAGATTGAGACTATGGTAGTACTTATGGATTTGATTGTGCAGCGCACACTCACTATAATTCCCCAAGGATTAAGGATAGGTAGGAATAATGTAACCTAGTCAATAGTTCATGCCTGAGACATTTTGAGTAATAAAATTTAATTTTTCTTAGTGTTCTTTGTGTTTAAAGTCATTTTATTATAGTGACCTTAAATAAAGTTCCATCTCAAATAGAAAAAGAAAATATGGTTTTCTAAGAGTAGAATTCTTAGACTCTTAAGCTCCACAAATACAGCAATAACAACAAAAATTGACTACTTTGTATTAATTTTGAACGACATGAGTCCTGGTCACTGACCATCAGGGTCTAGTTTTGAGACTTTCTGGTAGTAAACATCAAATCACAAATTCGCATGCTCTAGCCTTCTGTTCACACACCCGTTTGCTAAGCAGTGTTAACTGGGAGACGCTTTATTAGAAATTCATGTAAAACAGATTCTAAGCAACCACAGTCCATTGTCCTCCCACCTGACTCTGAAGAAAACAATGCTTTCAGAGCCATAGGTGATTTCATCCAGTGGCAACTGGCCTTTCTTCCTTTGCTAAGCACATACCAGCTTTACCTGCTAGCTCTGCCCTCTTCTGCTCATCCTCCCTTGCAATCCCCATGATGTGTCCGTATCCAACTTCTCCCCCAACCTCTTTGGATACTTGGCTTTTCTTTGATCTCTCCCCCTCAGTTTCCAAATATGGACATTTACTTTCGAATTTTCTCTCTTCTCTCCTTTGCTCTTCCTTCCGTTCCTGCTTCTGAATGTCCCAATGCTGATCCAATCCCACAACGTCCATTTACCCATTCCCCCGTCTCACAACAAACATCATGTGTTGCTCCTGATGCCCTTAGGCTTCCAGAGGAACCGTCCCCAAATCTCATTTACTGCTTTTATTTCAGGGGTTCTGTAGACCTGCTGGTCCAGTCCTCATCATACTCCACCCTCCTTCTTCCTTTACATTGCCATGGTTTCTGACTCTTGACTACTTCTAGCACAGAGAGAGAATTCCTGCTTTTCTGTAACAAACTCAATGTATTATTTTCATCACAACTCTAGTCTAACTATGAGGCCTTTGCCTCTCAGAGTTTCAAAAATTTACTTTCTCACTATATTTCTGTAACAATTTATTCGTGTAGGCTGAATAGGGTATTCTTAGAGAAAGCAATGTGGCTCCTTTCAAGAATGTACCTGCAATAGAACAAATATCTCCAACTCCCTAGTTTAGATTTTTTTTCTGTATCACATGTGACCATCTCTCTTTTTGTTTAATTAATTGAATTTATTTACCATTAGCCTCTCAAACCCAAAGTCCAATATATGTATATATATATATTCAATATGTATCATATTTGTGAATATATAACCTATATATCCTATATATGTGACATTATATGATGTATGTGTGTGTGTGTGTGTGTGTGTGTGTGTGTG